TTTCAAAAGCACCAATTGACCCGCCCACCGCCTTCCCTAAACCCAGCCGACAGTATTTTCAAAAGCACCAATTGACCCGCCCACCGCCTTCCTTAAACCCAACAGACAGTGTTTTCAACAGCACCAACTGACCCGCCCACCATCTTCCTTAAACCCAACCGACAGTGTTTTCAAAAGCACCAATTGACCCGCCCACCGCCTTCTTTAAACCCAACAGACAGTGTTATCAAAAGCACGGATTGACCCTCCAACCGCCTTCCCTAAACCCAGCCGACAGTATTTTCAAAAGCACCAATTGACCCGCCCACCGCCTTCCTTAAACCCAACAGACAGTGTTTTTAAAAAAAAGCAATTGGCCCGCCAACTGGCTTCCCTATACCCAACCAATAGTGTTTTCAAAAGCACCAATTGACCGGCCCACCACCTTTCCTAAACCTAACCAACAGTGTTTCCAAAACCACCGAATGACCCGCCCACCTCCTGCCCTAAACCTAACTGACAGTGTTTCTAAAAGCACCGATTGACCCGCCCACCGCCTTCCCTAAACCTAACCGACAGTGTTTCCAAAAGCACTGATTGACCCGTCCCCCGCCTTCCCTAAACCTAACCGACAGTGTTTTTAAAAGCACTGATTGACCCGCCCACCGCCTTCCCTAAACCTAACCGACAGTGTTTCCAAAAGCACTGATTGACCCGCCCCCCGCCTTCCCTAAACCCAACCGAAGGTGTTTTTAAAAGCAATGCAGAAAGAAAAAATCCCTTGCGTCAGTTGGATTTTATTTTTACCACGTTCTCACTCTGTTATTTACTTGTTTATTTTATTTTTTGCTTTTTGTTTTTGTTTTACTGGAACTGTTCTTTGCCGGACTCAAACCCCGTTTTCACGGTCAACTCCTCTTTGTGTCTCAGGTCTGTTGGCGTACGTGACGAGCCGCTGGGCAAACTGGTAACACTGGAAAAGCCGTCAACATGTAGGTAAGCGGTCAACTGGTAGTGCAAAAAGAATCAAGCTGTGGCCGTATCGTTCAATTCAAAGATGAAATGCAGCCATGCATAGCTCTGGTTACATAATTCGCACTTTCCAGAAATGTATACAAGGGTACGTTTTTTCAATAAGCCTTTGTTTGAAAAAAAGAGATCTTCTCTTCACTGGTTCCCAGTCAGGTTCAGCACTGATTTTAAGATTTTATACCTGATTTTTAAAAGGTATACTCAACTCTTCCCCAAATACTGTACTCTAATACATCAACCAGGTCACTCAGATCAGGTAATAAGTCATTGTTGACCACAAAAAATCTAAAGACAACCACAAATTTGCTGTGGTATGCCCCAAAAAAGTGATATTTAACACCTTTAAAGCTTTTAAGCTCACAGTTGAAGACATATTTGTTCAGTTTAGCATTTGACATACTCTGTTTGTACTTTGTTGTCCATGTCAGTTGTATATTTTACATTTCTATGTTTAATCTGAAGCACTTAAACTTGCAGTTATATGTGCTATTATGTTTATATATGGTTTATGTGAGGCTTGCAGTTATTGCATTATATGCGTTATTGACCTTATTCTACAATGTGGAAGTGCGTTCGTTTTTGGGATTGTTTTAGAACTTCCAATTCAGTTGCCTATGGGAGAAATGACTAGGAATAATAAACGGCAGAAAACGGTCAAACTACTTTCTTTATAAACAAGTGTGTTCATGACTTTACATAAAAAGTACAATAATATGATAAGAAAATATCAGTTTGCAACATGAAGCACCAGTTTTAACCTGTAAATATCAATGGAAGTATATGAGACAGAAGTCTTGAGCCAAAAAGATTCCAATGGCTGCAGATGCTTGTATGTGAAGAATAAGGTCAATATAAATAAAGAAGTTGAAGTTGTTGTGTCTGTGTCTGTGTAAACACCAAAAACAAGAGTCTATGAAAATGAAGGTAAAGGGAGGTAGATTCAAGGCAAGTGGAAGCAAACACACAATAAATACGAATACTAGCCTTCAATATGAAATGCGGCAATTTTTGCATCTTTTGTAGATGTCTAAATACAGACTGTTTTACTGTTTTGAAAATGTTGTAGTGTAAATGAAAACTTTTTTAAATCACAAGGGAAACACTTTTATATTTTTGTCTACATCCTTGTCATGTAAATGTAGCTTAAGGACTTGTTGGTGTGCCCATGGTGTTGCAAACCTGGCTGACATAAGCAGAAAATTTTATCTGTTGATGTAAAATGCATTTTGAGTTGCGGACATATTAATGTCGACCTCACAAAGGGTACATGTCATGGGGCCCTTCTGTTTCCATAAAACTCCACTTTTGTCCTGCATATGAAATAAATCAATCCTGTACTGGCCCCAGAGCTTTAAAGGGCACCAAATTATTTGCAGTTGGGTGTGGAGTCTTTGTTTCTGGGGAAATGCGAGTGACTGTGAAAGTGGTGCCTGCCATTTGCACAAAAAAACGACAGCAAATTTCCATGAAGCAAACTCCAGCAGCCCCAAACCCCCCTCCTCCTCCAACCATCCATAGTAGAAATAAGAAATACATTGGAAGTCAATGGCTATTTTTTCAATATTCTTCAGTTTCATCTTCCTTTGTGTTTAACAGAAAAAAGAAACAGGTTTGGAATAAGCGTAGGAAGAGTAAATGGTGGCAGAATTTTCATTTGGGTGAACTTTAATGTATAAAATAACAGAATGCAAAACAGTTTTGCATAAACAGTTGTATCAATGAATCAGATTTTTAGGGGTTTTGAACAGGGGTCCTAATCAGCAGATCCTAATCTAGAACCAGAAGCATGTTTGGTTTATAGGAACACCATTTGGACTACAAGAAAGTAGTTGGGTATGACGAAGGCTGGACAAGGGACTTGGCTTTATGCCCATTTACATTTACAGCAATTTTAACTCACCGGTGGTCTCTAGGTTACTATACAAGGTTGCTACTTGCTAGTTAGCTGCAAAACAGACCCCAGCCTTTTGAAAATCTAATTACATTCGAAAAACATTCACATATGTCAAACATACACAGAGATTCTCTGTCACAGGAAAAGATTGCTCAAAAAACTTGGGCCTGAAAATATAAATGATTGCCATATTAAGGGCTTGATGCCGTAATGGGGTTGAGATCGAAGTAAGAAGCATCTTTAAAAAATGTGAATGAATGAGATTAAAAAAATATGATTAAGATAAGAGTCTAGAGGCTTAGTCAAGCAAAACTGAACTAACTGATGTGATGTCATCCATCCATCCATCCATCCATCCATCCTGGGTGACAGAGCTCCTCATCCTCCGAAAAGCCATGTAGATCAGTTGATACATCAACAGATTGTTCGTATGTCAGCACATAGACAGGCCAGCGGATCAACGCAACTTTAAAATCCAGTGTCCCTGTATCTGTATTTGCACTCGGTGAAGAAATGCACTCTGATGACCTTCAAAGCCAATAACAATCATTTCTGTTGAGCACTTGAACACATGGGCCAATCAGCGGGAAATGGAAGTTTTTAAAATTTCTGAACTGATTGGTACCAAAATTCCAGTATTGTGACAACAGTAGGGTGAGCCCTGCCACCCTGCAAAGGAAGCTTATTTCAGTTTCTTGTATCCGAGATCTTATTATTTTGAACATTGACCACATTGAAGATGCTGCTACAGCAACCTTTTTGTCAATCTCAAGTTCCTGAGAAAATACAAACTGTATTTTGAATTTGGTACAGTAGGTAAGAACAGCTTGTCAAAGTGAGCTTTACAGAAAAGTTTGCTCAGGCTGGTAAACTGCTATTGGCACTTGACTATGTAATAGGTGGGTGTTGGTCTGGGCTTCCATAATCTTTCACATTAAACTAAAATTGTATGTGTCGTTGTCACGGATGTTTAGGCAACACATAGGCTAATTGTGGATACGTAACCGCGTCTACATTTCTGGAGATCACGAAATATGTACCCAGAGGTACATCTGGCTGCATTTCCTCTGTAAATGGGGTGGTACGTTGCCACCGATATCTTCTGTTCCTTTTAGTGCTACCGCTGACCGCTTACCTTCATATGGACGGCTTTTCCAGTGTAACCAGTTTGCCCAGTAGCTCATCCCGCATGCTGATGAACTTTGGATGTGGAGCGGAGTGGACAGTGATAACAGGGTTCATAGTTGTGAAGAACCGTTTCAAAAACCAGGTAAAACAAAAGCAAAAAGATAAATAAATAGCAGGCTGATTCTAGATTTGAAAACTCTATGGGTTGGGTTTAGGGAAGGGGGTGGGTGGGTCAGTCAGTCAGTTTGATCTGCTAAAATCCACATTGATGCCACTGGTGGATTTATGCGAGAAGAGACTGCACAAATAACACGTGTAAGAAATACTTGAGATCACCAAAGTGTGTACAGTGGCCTCTGGTGGATTTGCGAAAACTAAAGACGTGCCTCTGGTAGGCATTTGGCAATCTCCACAAATTCAGACCTGGGTACGTATCCACATTGAGCCTGGGTTTTGTTTAGGACAAAAACTCCTTTTATCAAGGAAAAGATACCATTTATCGTGTGTCTCAGCATCACACCAGGACATGATGTAAGGGGTTTTATTACTGTTATGGTCCTGAGTAATATTTCTATTAAATAATCATGTCCCTTTGATTTTATCCATACTGTGGAAAAGAAATGGGGTGGTATTTAGGATTTACCAGAGAACAACTTGCATTTAATACAGATATTCCCAAAATGTTTCCAGAGCACTATTTCAAAATTCATTGCTATTTCCAGGTTTCCTTACATCTTTCCCAACATCCTCCCCCAAAATCTCTCTCTTTCTCTCTATGCCTGTGCTGCAGGAGCTGTACAGCAATATGACTACCCAAACTACCTCCAACGAAGAATTTCTCACTGGAGAAACTCACTCTCTCCCCCACCACTCTCTCTCACTCTCTCTCTCTCTCTCTCTCACTCTCTCTCTCTCTCTCTCTCTCTCTCTCTCTCTCTCAGCGCAATGTTTAAATAGACCACAGAGCTGCTCTATCAGGCTCAGTTGCCTTTCAGCTGCAGTTCACCAAACAAGCAGGAGTCCAGCCAACAAATTGCTCAGCATCTAACAAGGAGGACCATCCAAGAGGACAAAGACAATTATACACAAAAGCTGAGTCTTGCTCATATTAACACATGGCCAGCAAGTCCATGCGGACATTCCTCCAGACCATGTGTCTGGTGGCTTCATTGTCCATGGCGGTATCTGACAATTATGACGATGATATCGAAGTGGGCTTTGGACACAATTATTTTAATGAAATACCTGATGAGGACCAGTTGGAAGGTGAGTAACCAGAAAGAAATACTCAACTGTGATCAGAGTAAGAGGTGAGATAAAGAGATGTATAATTCCACTACCTTTCAGAAAGGAGTTATGTTAAAAGTTAAAAGTTAAGAGTTAAATGCTGGAATATTTCTTGTAGTTTAACAGGATGCATGATATGATGTAAATTAGAATAACTGATTGATTACTGTATTTGACTATTGTGTTTTGAGTATGCAATAAGTTTCTGCCAAACAGAAATCGATGAAGTGACACAGAAAGAGAGAAAATTGGAAAATGAAAAAAATTAAAGCTGATAATTTAAAAAAGCATTGCTTTATAAAGGATTTTGCTAACACTATAGTATGGGGACACATTCTTACTACTAACTTTGGCAATTAACATGTATGCTATTAACACATTGGCTGTATAGTGACTATAAATTGCATGTTCTACATGATCTTATTCTATGTCCCTAATCCTATCCAATACCTAAACCTAACTACTACCATATCAACTATTAAACAGTAAACTAGGACTTTATTGAAGCATAAGTCATAGCTATTAATTAGTTAATAGTGAGAATTGAACCTTAAAATAAAGTGACCATAAAGTTTACCATGTCAAATTAAAGCAAAACAGCTCATCCCTTTATTAGTGACAAAAAATGAATCCGATAATGAAATGAATCCTACACTGTAAAAATGCAGGGTTGTACACAATTCCTTCACGTTGTCCCAACACAAATCGATTAAGTGAACTTAATTGGTTTTACAAATTTAAGTGGATAGAACATAAAACAATGAAATTGTCCCCCAAAAAAAACAAGAATTGAGTTTATTCAGCTCATTTTAAATGAGTAGTTTGAACAAAGAGCAAAAATAACTTTTGAGTGTATAGGAAATGCTACGTTTAAACAAAATAATTTTTAAATGTAAAGATATCGATTTTAGATTGTTTTCAGCAAAGCTATTTGCATTTCAAACACTCACTTCTATAGTAGTAAAGTCACTTTTACATGTTTGACACTTTTGGACCTTACTGTGAGGAGGATGAGTAAATTACTTGTTGCAATATTTGATCGTATTTATTAAATGTGTTCTTTAATAGAAGTTAGGCAGATATACCATATACTCAAAAAAGTTTGTTTCTTGCTTGTTCAAACTACTTAAATAAAATGAACTGAAACAACTCAATTATTAAGATTTTCTTTGGGCAGCGCAATTGTTTTATGTTCAATCTACTTAAATTTGTTAAGTTAACTTAATCGATTTGTGTTGAGATAACATGAATGATCTGTGTGGAATCCTGCAGTTTCTAAAATGAGTACTTTTACATGGACACCAATAATCCGATTTTAATCCGATTTCACAATACTCAGATTAAGATTCTACCATGTAAACAGTGATTTTTTATTAATTTAAATCAATTAAGGTCATAATCAAACTAAACAGAAATCGGATTAAGACGTGGAGTATGCTGATTTAGTCACATTATTGAAGTTTAGTACAGACATGTAAACATCGCAATCAAACTATTGCCGTCATGTAGGATTTTCACCGCATTTTGTGACAGGATAGTCTATATACACGGCTGTTTGACACTATTCTATACACTTACCAAGTGTGTGAAAGACCACAGACACCTGCATCACGAAATATAGAGTTTTTTTTCATACAACATGCGATTTCAAATTCCATTAAAACAACACTCTTTCATCGGCACCAATGGCGAAGTGGTAGTGCGTCGACATATGCACGCCAGTGGTCACGACGACCTGAGTTTGATTCCCGCCTCAGGGTCCAATGCCGATCGTTCCCCTCTCTCTGCATACCACGCTTTGCTGTCAATACTTCACTATCCTATCAATTAAAGGTGAAAACCCCAAAAATACAATAATAATAAAAAAACAGCACTCTTCCAGCAGTTCATACTCGCATCCAATATCTCGTTTGTCACGGGGGGCATGCATAAAATCTTCCTGAGTGAAAGTGAAAATGCCAAACTGCAGTTATATTCAACAAATTAAAGATCGAAATTACACAAAACTCTGGAGGAAATGTGGATAGCATGTTGACGCAATGACATTAATAGAATTATGTGCTATAAAATGTACATCCAAGGAACATCCAAAAAGCAACTCATGTAAAAACTTTGATAATATTATTGTCTTATTCAGATTAAGACAAATAATTTGAATACTGAAGTCTATGGTAATGAACCCTTTACACATGGTATCACCTGATATAAACATACTTTTCTCTCTTTCTGTTTTTGTCTTTTCTCTCTCAGACGAGACCCCCACACCGTCCCCTGAACCCTGCAAAAATACAGCCTTTACCAAATGGGATAAGCTCTTCACAATGCTGGAAAATTCCCAAATGAAAGAAAACATGCTCCTGCAGTACGCCGATGATATCATCAAGGTGGAGCTGCAGAATCTGAGAGGAGAGATGATACAGTTTGTGGCGCAGTATGGTGGATCTTGCGCATCTGCAGTTGAGAGCTCGGTTCGACGGGCCGGGACTCAAACAGAGTCGCGCCTGCAGAACGCACTGGACCGTGCGCGAGAGGTTTCAGCTGATCGGTACGAGCAGCATGATGCAGTCCTGCAGCAGCTACTGGCAGTCAGCGTAAACCAGGCCGCACAGCTGGATCGGCTGGAGAAGGGCTGCTTGAAATCGGGGGCTTTCAAAAACATCCAAACTCGACATCTCATGCAGGATGTGACAGAGACAGAGAATGGTGGGAAGTTGGAAAAGAGTCTGGAAACCATTTCCAGTGAGCTGCAAAGCATCCGGGAACAGCTGAGCCTTTACACCAGATCAGCTTTTGCTGATAAGCTTCCATCAGGTGAGTTGATCCATAGATATGTCTTCTACCACCTACTTGTATACACATTTTGGAATGTCGCATAAAAAAAAAATGCTTGATGGAAATGCCAAGGCGCAGATACATTTGAAAAATTTGCAAAAAAAAAAAACAATGCACACAACTGAATAGGATCAACTTTTTTTATTCGATAAGAAAAAATGTTCATAAACTAAAGTTGAAACACATTTACCGAATAAAGTCTATCATGCGCATCAAAAAAGGTCATGTGATTTTGTTTTCAACAGATCATATGGTAAATATGTTTTAGGGGATAAAACATTGATGGACAAACCAGCAGACCGATCACATCCTTTGGTCATTGGTCATTCCAAAATGTTTTAGACAAAGTCCATCAAAGTGGTTCGGTATAATTAACTTCAAGAATTGAATTTGAATTGTCTTCATGCCTCCAAAATGCATTTTGTCATCATTTTCTTCTTAGGAACAGGTAATTTATTATACAAGTAAAATGGCCCACAGTTGCTTCTCCTAACCATTTTTTAGGAAGTGATGATTTTGTTCTAGAAACAGTGCTTTATTCACTAATGTTTATGCAATATTTCAGTTTAGTTCTAATATTTGGATGGAAACATAGTTTGATATACACTACCTGACAAAAGTCTTGTCGTCAATCCCAGTTGTAAGAGCAACAAATAATTAATAACTTGACTTCTAGTTGATCATTTGGAAAAGTGGCAGAAGGAAGATTTTTCAGATGAATCATCTGTTGAACTGCATCCCAATCATCACAAATACCCCAGAATACCTACTGGAACCCAAGTTTGGTGAAGGAAAAATCATGGTTTGGGGTTACATTCAGTAAGCTCCCGAAAGCAAAGAAGGTCAAGGAGCTCCAGGATTGGCCAGCCCAGTCACCAGACATGAACATTATTGAGCATGTCTGGGGTAAGATGAAGGAGGAGGCATTAAAGATGAATCCAATGAATCTTGATGAACTGCAAGAGCGCTTTCTTTGCCATTCCAGATGACTTTATTAATTAGTTATTTGAGTCATTGCAGAGATGTATGGATGCAGTCCTCCAAGCTCATGGGAGTCATACACAATATAGTAAATTAATAATTAAAAATAATAAGTAGATCATTACAGTGCTGCCTTGTCACTAAAGTTTAATTTGGCTGCGACTATTTGTCAATTGCGTGCAAATACAGTCTTAGAGAAACAGTTTGGGTTTTTTAGCCTTCAAATGCTAGGTGAAGTCGTAAGCACTATAATGCTTTTCCTCTTATCTGATTGGATGTTGTACGCACGTAATTTTTTCCATAACAACAAGTACAGCAAAGAGACGGCAACATCAAATGCTGATGCTAAAAGAAAATGTTTGTTTTTAACTTTTTGGAAGCAGACACTGTGAGGGTACACCACGACTAAAAAAAATGAAGTGATGTTTTGTACAATTTGCCATCAGTTTGGCAGGTCAGCCACTTTTGTTTTGCAATAAAATACCTGCACATTTTTCCATACCACTACTTTTGTTTGCATAAGACTTTGAATTTTGCTCATTATACATCAATTAACATTTTTTATATTTAAATTCTAGATTTATAAACATTTTTTTAAAATTTGTGGCTAAGAAATGCCATTAACTTTTTTTGGGTGGGGCCAGTGAAAATATTGGCAGGGCAAGTAAAAATCTTAACCACTGGTCCAATCGGGCCAGTAGAAAAATTCCTAAGCGTTGAACTGTTTCTGTTAAGTGACAAGACTTTTGTCGAAGCAAGTCAGACCTTACTGTCCGAATTATATAATTAAAAATCAAGACATTATCATGTTTTATTTTGGTAAAATAAGCTTTTGCCTTTCATATAAACCAGGGGTGTCCAAACTTTTTGGGCCGAGGGCCAAATTTTACAAACTACCCACGTTGTCCTGAGCCAAATTTTACATACATCACACAGACATGCATATATATATATATATATATATATATATATATATATATATATATATATATATTATACCTCATAACTAACCAGTGTAGAATTTTCTTGCACTTTATTAGCACGAAAAAACTGCTTTTGTTGAGCTGATAGGGCAGCTGCTAATTGTTTTACTTTTTGATCTCGTTCGGCACCAGTGTAAGAGCTGAAGGCCTGATGTTTTGTTTCATAATGTATTTTAATATTAAATTTCTTCATTACTTCAACTGATTGCTGGCAAATTAAGCAGATACATTTCCCGCTGACCTCTGTGAAGAAATATTCTTTTCCCCAACGTGACTGAAATTTCCTGCACTCACTGTTGATTTTCCTTTTTCTTGGTTTCGCCATGGCTTGCCAAAATGTGAATCAAAATGTTATCAATTATGTTTCCTTCAGTTTTTTTTTGGTTTGTTTTGCATCATTACAAGAACTGCTGCCTAATTGAAGGCATGTAATAGCGACACCCGGTGGTTATTTATTGAATTACGTTCATTTTTGTATAGCGGGCCAGATTCTATTAATATTTATCAAAAGCCTCGCGGGCCGCCACAAAACTAATTGCGGGCCGCAGACGGCCCGCGGGCCGTAGTTTGGACAACCCTGATATAAACCATTTCAGATACCAAATGATCAACTAGAAGTCAAGTTATTACTTGTTGTTCCTAAAACTTGGACAGGCGACAAGACTTTTATCAGGTAGTGTTGCTAGCAAATGCAGCATTTTATTAAGAGGCAAAAACAGCCTCAAGAAAATACAAGAAACATCTTTACCTGGATTAAAACTTGCATCTCCTAAAGGACGACTCAAAAGTTCACCAATGAGCAATAAATGGTTCTGATAACACACTGTGTATAGGATTGGAAAACCAATTTATGTCATTGATTCTGAACAACAAAGCAGCACGCTCCAACTTCAACACCCTCAGCAAGTATGTTGCTTTGTTTGAGTTAATCTTTTGAGCTCAATTTGGACAGGACTGAAACAGACCGCCAAGGTGACGATTTTGCTTTGGGGCTGTAAATTTTAAGCAGTAAATCTGCAATTTATACAAACCACATGCTACGATCAAACCACCAGCCAACTTAGCTGACTAACACAAACATAGAGTGTGTCAACTCATACGACCCCTGAGCAGACCACCATCATCACCCCAAGGTAGGAGGTTGATATCCGCCAAAATCTGATAAACGTTTAACCCCCTAAGACTTTCTCCGAGCTCCTACTGAGCTGGGAAACAAGCGTTGTCTGCATCGAGAAAAGCTTTCACCTTGTCAGCAAGCCGGATACAGTTTCTAGTCAACTTAAGTTAAAAATGATTTAATCTGCGATACCCATGCCTTCTCCATTAAATAGCTTTGTAGAGGTAGAGTAAATGCAAGACAGATGAGGGTATAATTATTAACAGCCATGCAGGGCGACCACACCAAAGCGTCCAGGGGGGAAAACAGAACCAGATGAGATTGTTTAAAGAATGACTTTGCCTCCCTCCATCTTCCCAATGCAGGAAACCCAAGACAAATGTAATGAAAATATTATAAGCTACGGTAGGAGAGTTGTGGCCTGTCATATCAAAGCAATCACCTATAGGAGAGAAATGGACCTACCCAAACCCCATTAATTTCTTTTACTCTAGTTAAAGATCCTCTAAATGGTTATGCAAGCTAATCATACACAAAACTGGCCATCCCTATAAACATGCTCATGCAACAATATGCAACAGCAAAGAAGAAAGTTCTTCTAGGATTTTAACAGATACATTCTTATCATATTCAGAGGTTAATATATATTAATAACAAAAGCAAAAATTCGTAGACCGTATCTTGTGTTCTGCTTTTAGGAGGCTCACTTGTAGCAAAACTTGGAGGGGATCCACAATGACTAAATGTTTACTCTGAAAATCATTACTCTGAATACCGCTATTGCAATATAAAGGATGGACTGAAGATTAGATCACAAGAACGGACCTTTTATTATTGTAAAAAAAAAAGATTAGACTTTGTGATGGAACCTCCTTAAAAGATTTGCACAGTGTGAAGGTTATTCACAGAAATGATAAGTCTTCCACAATCATGGTTAGTGTGATTTCGCCAAGTAAGACCTGAATAAACATCGATGTGGATCATGGACCAACATTCCAATCAGCCAATCAGCTTTAAGGGATACATTTACAGCTTATGGGGGCAGCACGGTGGCTCAGTGGGTAGCACAATCGCCTCATAGCAAGAAGGTTGCTGGTTTAAGCCCCAGCTAGTACAGTTGGCATTTCTGTGTTGAGTTTGCATGTTCTCCCCGTGTTAGCGTGGGTTTCCTCCGGGTGCGCCGGTTTCCCCCACAAGTCCAAAAACATGTGGTAAAGGTGAATTGGGTAAGCTAAATTGTCTGTAGTGTATGTGTGTGAATGAGTGTGTGTGGATTTTTCCCAGTGATGGGTTGCGGCTGGAAGGGCATCTGCTGCGTAGAACACATGCTAGATAAGTTCATTCCGCTGTGGTGACCCCAGATTAAAAAAGGGACTAAGCCGAAAAGAAAATGAATGAATGAATTTACAGCTTATGTTAAGTTTAGACTTACAGTAAGGGTTGTGTTCTTCTACATCACTGTTATCTAATTTTACTCCCTTCTGATTTGGGGAATAATTTACAGTTAGGGTTAGGATTGGGGTAGGGATTAGGTATGGATTACATTTTCAAACAGAAATGTGTTCCAGAATTGCATCCTACTTGACAAAATTACACCCACCCCACAATCAAACACAACTAGAGATAGGTGGGGTAGTGTAATGGTTTTCTCAAAATTTCTTTCTAATAGGACATTCACATCAGATGAAGCTTTCGCAATCTATTCAAGCATAATTAGAAGGGTGGACATTTTATGTTTACTTGCTTCATTCGCGTGTCAAATTCGCTTTATTGTGACATGAAACTCACTAGACGTAATTTTCACGCTCACCAGCGATATAACCACCAGAGATCGCTGGAAAACATTCACACTCACATAGGACTACAAATCCGCCATTTATGGACTACAAGACCCAGTCATGCAACCACACACACACACAAACACCTGGTACCAGATTCTGACTGATTACAATCTCACAGCTGATGCTGCTCAATTACTGATTACACACACATATATTCGGCTTACTTTGAGACACTCATTGCTGAGTCTTGTTATCTGCTTAGTGACACTACAACGTGTTTTCCTTTGTCTTGTTTTACCCTGTTTTTTGATGCTTGCCTTGTTTATTTGCTACATCCTGTTTGCTGCCTGCCTTGTGACCACCTGCCTTGAGACCACCTGCCTATTATCTTGACTACGACTCTGGATTGCCCTTATACATCTGTTTGCCCCTGTATTGACCACTGCTTGCCTGACCATTCTAATAAACCTGCATGTGGATCCTCACCCTTGTTGTCGGTGTCACTACCCCAGGTTACAGAAGACTCAGCCATGAGTGTCTCAAAGTGAGCAGAATATATGTGTGTGTAATCAGTCATTGACCAGCATCAGCTGTGAGAGTGTAATCAGTCAGGATCTGGAACCGGTTGTGTGTGTGGTGCATGACTGGGTCTTGCAGTCAATAATTGGCGGATTTGTAGTCCTATGTGAGTGTGAATGTTTTCCAGCGATCTCTGGTGGTTAGATCGCTGATGATCGTGACAATAATTCACTTCATGGGAGGGGCGTCTATCTGCCTAGCGACTCCAGTTTCGTTGCTAATGGCTGACATGGATTTTATTGAGAGTATCTGTGCTTTATGTGCTTTATGAAGCCCGAACAACAGCATATATGAATTTGGTGCCATGTTTGGGTCCATTAGATCCTTCAAAGGTGCACTCAGCTCTCCTTCAGAAGCCGTGGCTCGATGATGAGCACTTTCAGCGGTACTTCTGGCTGAGCTGATCCCAGTTTGATGTGTGGTTATCCTGTGTCGATAGGAGGATTTCCCCTCAAGACACCAACTACAGGCTCTACATCATGATCTTGCCCCTACTAGAGCAAGCTCCTGATTGGTTAACGCGGTGTGAAAGTCCAGCAAAGTTCAGATTTTTCAACTCTAACGATTCTCCTGAATCACGCGTTAAGGGCATCAAACACACATCATTCGCCTCCTCATTTGCACGAATAGCGCCACAGGATGTCTCATCGCATCTATCACATTGATTTAACATGTAAACACTCAAGCCTGACACTTCATTCAAGTCTGGTGTGAACATACCACAACAGGAATAAACAAGTTTAGCTAACAATATCATTTGCCTCTCTCAATTCTGCTTTCTCTCCAGGATGTGACACTGGACTGCTCTTCCCCACACGTTCATCTAAAGCTCATGCTGAAGTCTCGCCCCATGGATTGCTTAGGACCAATGCAGTCACCATCTGCCTTTGGGTGAAACCAACTCAGGTCTTCAACAAGACCCTCCTCTTTTCGTACAGCACAACTGGCAATGCCTACGAACTCCAGTTGGTGTTGAGTGGACAGAGTGCATCATTTACTGTAGATGGTGAAAGCCATTTGGTGGAAGCTTCAGGAGCAGTGCAAGAGGGTCAGTGGGGGCACCTTTGTGCGTCCTGGAGCTCACAACAGGGCTTGGCCTCTTTGTGGGTGAACGGTCAACAAGCTGCAAGCTCCCCCGGTGTAGCTGAGGGTCATGAATTACGCAGCAAAGGAAGTATCCTTCTTGGACAAGAGTATGGACGTCACTATAAGCATCTCAGTACACCCGACACATTTGACGCAGAGTTGGCCTTCACAGGGAAGATGACCGGAGTAAACATGTGGGACCGTGTTTTGGATCCAAAAGAGGTTTCTCAACAGGCCAGGCTGTATGGGACTGCTTGTGGTATCCGTGGTAATGTTGTGGCATGGGGTGTGTCTGACATTCAGCCAAAAGAGGGTGTCAAGTTGTTATACTAATTTGTGTACTTAACCCACTTCAACACCCTGAGCCCTGCACACCAATCAGCTGCCAAGCAAGCATTGTGTTGTGTTTAAAAGAAGTCTAGTAGTCATCAAATAGATGTGGCTAAAACAAGGCTAAATTTGGGAAAATCTAATAGGCGTCCAAAAATAGACTAGGAACCAAATAGACAAGAATGAATGACTACACATTTCAAGTGTGTATAATCTGACTATTTGATGACTAGTTTATTTTTGGACTATTGTAAGACGTCTATTAGATTTTCACTGACAGCCCAAATTTTGCCTTGTTTTAACAAAGATGTCTATCCAAGCAGGCACAGGACGTCAAGATTGACGTTGTACCCCAACGTTGTGGGACGTTGCATTTTCTTTGGGAACGAAAAGCAGCTTGACGAAACACAACGCCAGGCCGAAGTCAATGTCCACCATTGGACAGACGTTGCGTTTCAGTTACTTTCCAATGCAACCTAAAATAACAAAACATTAACATCTAATGATGTTACATCTTGATGTTATGTGGATGTTACCAATATGATGTCTATCAGATGGATTTTGGTTGCCATATCTGATGAATAAATGTCAGTATATGACATCAATATGACATTGCTTTAAGATCTTGGCAAGACTTTGGTCACTTTCCACCACAACCTAAAATAAACCAAATTTCAAAGTAATTTCAATAATAAAATAACATTTTCCTTAGATGCTGGTGACCTAAATCTAACCTAATATTAACCTCTTATGACATTGTGTGTCTGCTGGGATGTTTAGACAACTATTAGATGTCTTTTAAACACAAAATTGCTTGGCAGGTGAGCTCCTACAAGCACATATTAAGAACAAGCTTTGCTGCACCTGCACACTACCCATCATTTTCCTTCTTTTCTTAGATGTGCAGAAAATGCTCCCTCATAGGGAAAATGTGATTTAGGTTGAACTGGCTGTTAAATGATTTAAACTGCTGCAAAAAGAGGGACGTCATATACAACTTTTTTTTTTTAATTACAAAATTATTTGATGAATGTTCTCATCTTTAAAAAGTGTGAAAGGATTGTTCAAATATATATAACGTATCATTAAACTATTTATCTTGATTGGTATTGTTTACATTCAGATTTTTAAACTATTTGTAATATAATCATTCATCAGTGTTATTTTATCTTATGCATTTGTTAAACTATAGATTATCTAATAGGTATCTTGTGATGGCCATTTTTAAATATGTTGTTATACGAGTTCTGCTAATGCATAACTTTTTTTTGTCGAAGACGGTTGCTTTGTTGATGATGATGGAACTGTGGAAAATGTTTACAAATCTTGACTTTATTTTTGTTTCCGCTGATGTGATTAAATGTATTATAGAATGTAAATTGTTTTTGTTAAGAGGATAAAATGAATGTATAATGTACATAGATCTTTTCCTGAGGACAGGGAGAAGCAAACCATAATAAAAATGTAAACTAAAAGCTAACATTGTCATTCAGATCCTGTTGAAGGTACGGCATAATGAAAGTGCTTTAAATCAATATTGATTTAATTTTGAATAATTTAGAAAGCTGATATAGAGTCAAGCTTCAAGGGTAAGGGTAATTTTTCAGTTTATTAGTACTTGCAATAGCTCTTCAATATCAGTAAAGTTCTGTTTCTGAGTAGACTCACCAGCCTTTTTTTAGGTACACCTTACTAGTACTGGGTTGGACCCCATTTTGCCTTCAGAACTGCCTTAATCCTTTGTGGCATTAATTCAACAAGATACTGGAAATATTCCTCAGAAATTTTGGTCCATATTGACATGATAGCATGATGCAGTTGCTGCAGATTTGTCGGCTGCACATCCATGATGTGAATTTCCCTTTCCACCACATCCCAAAGGTGCTCTATTGGATTGAGATCTGATGACTGTGAAGGCCATTTGGGTACAGTGAACTCATTGTGATGTTCAAGAAACCAGTCTGAGATGATTCGCATTTTATGACATGGCGTGTTATCTTGCTGGATGTAACCATCAGGAGATGGGTACACTGTGGTCATAAAGCGATGGACATGGTCAGCAACAATATTCAGGTAGGCTGTGAAGTTTACACAATGATTAATTGGTACTAATGTGCCCAAAGTGTGCCAAGAAAATATCCCCCACACCATTACACCATCATCTGCCCGTCTGACACTAACAACCCAGCCAAGTCATACACATTAGGACTGTAACCAAGTAAATCAGTTAACTGCACAGACAAAACAACACGTGTCTGATATTTTACATTTTTAACATGCAACATAACCAATGATGTGTGTTATACAGGCCACGAGTCAGTGTGTAAGAGAAACAAATCACTGATTTAGCAAAAACTCTCAGAGCGATTAGTAGATCCAGATGGCGTTAAGGAAACTGCATTCTTGAAGGGATATTACTAATGATGAGTATTGCTAGAGGGAGTTTGTGAGCCATTCAAACGCTTTAATCTTTTAAAGACGCTATTTTCCAACTCTACCTTTCCTGCTTCTGCAGCCAGAGTACACACCAGGGGGAACTGTGCCGCTAACACACTCCAGACCACTACAAACACTCACAACCTACTTCCGACATGACTTTAACATGAGACCCCTGTGTTGAGGCAGCTACATACTAAGTAAACATAAGAGCTCATGGGGAGACACCGATGCAGTTCGGAAAAACATTTCAAAGAGACTAAATGGGGAGTCGTCTGTCCTGCTGAAATAACCACAGTTTCTTGTGTTGTAAATGTGGTGTCTTAACTAGCCTAAAATCCTAGCCTAACTTCCAAGATCACCTTCGGCAATCAGGACCAGCAAGGTATTGCTTGCAAACCCCATGACTGCAGACCATGACAAGTAAAAATCTAATTTGACCAGTGTGGAAATCCATGAAAGTTTTTTGACTATAGGGTTACTTACCACCAGATGCCAACAAGTCATTGCTGCAATCAAGAGGGTCATAGTTTCTTTTACCTAACATTATAAATACATTTAGGAAACCATTTGCCTTAATGAAATTCACACTGTTTCCATATTTTTTCAGCATTTTTTGCATCTGTAATAACAAGGTTGAACCCTCCATCCTCTCTGTGATATCTAAAAAAGATTGGAAGGACTCAATAAGTCCTATTCGTTAATAACTGTGTACAATATTCATATTCATTTGCACATTTTGAACAAAAAATGTTCTGCCTAATTCACAACGTGTTCAAGCTCATGAGCTTGCTCTTATACTTAATCTTCTGTTAGTAAATTTGGAGTCTTAAATGAGTGTCTGTGTGCATAAAGTTAGTAATTTGCATAATACACACACAAACTAACACCATATAAGGGTTTTTCGCCAACCTTGTAAATAAGAGTTCTAATTACTTGTAGGGTTCTTTGTACAAGCTTAAAAGACCCCAGGCGTACATGATTACTCAGCCCGATCTCATGAGGAAACGTAACTATTTTACATTTTGTCAGTTTAGTGACTAATCCAGTCGTATGAAAATGTATGATTTTTAAATCCCCACCCCTAAACCCAACTGCCATTGGGGGATGAGCAAATTGTACTTAATTGTAAGAATGAGATCGTACGATTTTATACGAATTAGACACCAAATCAAAAAGTTACGAACTGCTGTGAGATAGCATTGGATTATTACATACATGTGTAATTTTTTTCATACAATAAAATAAAATTACGAATGTCTTTGATGAATCATGATTTATTTGTCTGTATGCATGTTTAGTGAATGAGTCCCAATGTTTACTTACCCTTTTTTCTTTTTAAATAGACAAGACAGCAAAATCACAGTAATTGATTGGTTTCAGGTACAAGGTTCCACTTTGTGTTGTTTTGATTGTAACTGATTATTCTAAATTTTCTTTCTGTGATGAATTCTTAGGATAATGAATGCAAAAAATAAAAATCGTACACAAAAATGTCAGATTTCGTGTGCAAAGACCTTGAGCCTAGGCTCAGCAATAAATCAACACTGGCTCATTCTGAAAATGGACCTCTATATACATTTCTGCATAGCACCAAATACGTCCTAGGAGCTACGTTTTTTTTTTTTGCAGTTTTTGTTTTCGCGAATCCACCAGAGGCCGCTGTGTATGCTTTTTGGACATCTCAAATTTCTCTAGCGAGGGCCATTTGCGCCTGGTGTTCTCACGTAAATCCACCAGAGGACGCTGTCGACTGACTGAATGACTGACTGATCGACTGACCCACCCCCTCCTCCTTCCCTAAACCCAATCAATAGTGTTTTCAAAAGCACAGACTGACCCGCCCACCCACTTCCCTAAACCCAATCAACAGTTTTAAAAAGCAATCTTGTCTGATTTTTACCACGTTATCAGGTTTTACCACATTCTCACCTTGTTATTCACTTGTTTATTTACATTTTGGGCTTCTGTTTTTGTCTAACCTGCTTTCTGGAACCGTTTTCCGCCAGACTCAAACCCCGCTGTCATGGTCAGCTCCTTTCTGCATCAAGTCTGCCGTCGTACATGGCAGGCTACTGGACGAATAGGTTAAAGCGGGAAAGCAATCCACATAGAGGTAAGCGGTCAGCTGGTGAGCGCAAAAAGGAGCCTTGTCATACCGCCCCGTAGCATTCGTTTTAAAGACAAAATGCAGCCATACGTACTTCTGGCTACAAAATTTGCAATCTCCAGCAACATATATTATACGTTTTCAGAATGACCCCGTGTTGCATTAAACACACCATGAAAATGAACAGTTTAACTGCGGCACCAATGAATGAGTCGTATATGAATCATAGCTTCACTCATTCCCTTGTACTGTTCAGCTCAATGATCCTCCACAAAATCTAGCCTGAAACCCATTACCTCACCCCATTTCCTGCTTCATGCACTGTACAGAGGTCGCACGTTATTGCCCCTTTGTGAACCCGAGGGAAGTAGGACAAGGGTGGTGTTAATGAGAGAAGAGGAAAGGAGACTGATTAGGAGACAGACCCCAACAGGAGGCTTGAGGAAAAACGAGGGTGAGCTATTAAGATCTAATAATCCTGTTAGCTGGGGCTCTGTAGTTGTAGCGCTATAATGCATGACATATGCAAAAACCACAAAACCTATTATGCTTATACTGGAAACGAAGATCCATAAATTACCATTACTGTAAGTTACACCAAGTACCATAGTGAATCATACACAGATGGCAATGTAGGCCAGTAAATCCTTCAAAGTTGAATCCCTGATGTTGTCCTTCTGTCCTGGACTGTTTCATGTAGATTTGAGCAAATATCAACTCTGTACGTCCTCTGTTTTACATCTCTAGTGCAGGCTGGATTCAATCCAGGGGTTCTGCTGACTTGTATATCAGTTTTCTGTTCTCACTCAGCCATCCAAACTGCCGCAGTGGTCCAAGACACAATCAATGGATGCTCGAGAGTATACACGATGCATGGGGTATAAAGAAACCTAAACACTTCAATACAAGCTGTTTAACTATAGTGGTCAGCCAATTGTTGATTGTACCTCAGGCTGAAAAACCTGGGCAAATGTTGAGTGGAAGCTGTCATGACAGTTTCACAATTGAGAGTTATGTAACCAGTTCTTGGACGAACATGATGGTCAAGCAGCAAGCCCAGTTTTAAGACAATACACTTCATTTAGATCTGGAACCCCCGTCAACAGTTGAATAATACAAATTAAAGCCCAAGAGGGTGCTTCTTCAGCTGAGGCAATGTTTTTTTCTGTGTTGGCAAGAGAAAGATTGTTGAATTTAGAAGTAGATGTTGAAAGAAGAATACATAAACCAATGTGGCATGACTGAATGGATATCCAGTGGATGGATAATGCTTTACAGGCTGAAAAAAATTTATGTATGAGATAACTGTGGTAAACTGTTTACATAATGTGCTTGAAGAGTGCATCCAAACATGGCGGTAAAGGAGCTAGTCGATATTCATAATGTTTAGCTTTTTACCTGTCAATCTCTTCACTCTACAAGGGGATTTATTTGGCAGTACACGGTGACAACCATATCAGATTTATACATGTAGTCAACTATGTTTATAATACATCAAGTGAACAACTAAAATACTTAAAAAGTACAAGAGGAAATATAAACCCCTCAAAAGTGTCTTCACTTGTAGCTCTCCAAGAATTTTAGTTATTCAGCAATAGGATATGAAAAAACTGAGACTATTACAAAATATGAAGGTATTTATTTTAGACTCTACAGCCATGTGGGCCAGCCTGATCACCTACTCACACCTGAAGTTCTCCAGCCTCAGGCACCTAGACTGCAGCTCTGCTAAGGAAGCTTGGTCAGAGGAGAAATGGTCGTGGCCAACTGAGGCTGGTTTCTCTCTAGGTTTTTTTCCTTCATTTTCATCAAATGGTGAAGTTTGTTCCTCGCCACTGTCGCCACTGGCTTGCTTGGTTGGAGACTTGTGGAGCTAAATGCATGGGTCCCAGAGGTTTTAGGGGCCCACAATGAAGCTTGGAGGGCTGG